AGAAGAGATTCTTACAGTCTAGTGATATTCCTTTTCACTTATAAGTAAATGGTATTAGGTTCGATTCTCGTCAAAGACGAATTTAACCACATTATTGCTATCACATTGTAAGGTAAGCTCATTCCCTCTCCTTTAGTATTGATAATATCATTTGTTGGAAAAAAAAAAACAAGAGATCACGTAGACTAATAGAGGAAGCATATTGCAGTGGTAAGGAGCTCTATTAGTTTCAAGAATAATGTTATGGGAGGAAATTTGTACCAAACTTGGGATGGAAATTGTGTTGGTATATTCTTAAGGAGTTTTAACGAAAAGCCCACGGTACTGTTCACTTTAACAAAAAACCACATTTTTACATTAAAAAGTCAATCCTGGTAGTATTCATTTTATCCTTTATTTTGTCTTTATTGTTAAAACTCAAAGTTTTCAAACCTTTTCGTTAGTTTTCCTATATTCTTATCCTCCTTTTTTTTTTTTATTTTATTTACAAGACGATATACATTCTAAATAAATTTTAATTTGTGAATCATGTGCACTACCTATATGATTAAATGTCGTAATCCACATCCCGTCAATAACTTTAGATTACTATTATTTCGAGCATGTTAGATGACTTATTCATGAAATATTGTCCCCGGCCCCCTACCCCTTTTAGCTAGCTTCAAGGCTTTAGAAAAAGTTAAATGAATATATCTTCCTTTCAAGAATCTAATCAAGATATCTTCAACTATTTCATGATTAATAGCTTTTGCAAAAAATCAGTTCCGAATCAAAACAAAACAAAAACATGACATTAACTTAACTTTTAATGATGGATTATATAGCCATATTAGACTAATCGTCCGACTAATCATTTTCATTTGTTGTTTTTGTGGAGACGCAACATATAGTTCTGCCGACAGACACACACATACTGTATATCGCTCGACCTCTCCATTGCAACCAATCATGAAGACACCCTCGTGTCTTGTCTAAATCAAATTTACTCGCCTGCCATGGCATCTAGTGAAAGTTAAAACTTATCATGGGGAATTGCGTAACTTCGTCCTCGTGATGATTTGCAATTCCCTCAACTTCGTGCACTTTACGTGAGAATAATAGAGATTGATCTGGTTAGCAAGTGTGGAATATGTATAATTATCTCACGTCCGAATGCATGTTAAGGGTATATCAAGTGGTAGTTCTCTCTGAAGTACACCGATACTTTTCGATATAAAACTTTTCGGTTGAGTAGGTCTATGAGCATTAATTACACTTTGTATGCACTTATGTGGTGAAATTGGAACCAGGATTATTTTCGGATTTTCTTTATGAGGATTTAAGAAATCCTTTAATTGTGTTCGTTCATCGTAAATTGTGCGATTAGTTTTCGTAAGGTACTATTTGTGTTCAATTTGAAATAAAAAATTTTAAATAATTTATGACCGTACAATGTACAATAAATGGACACGATTAAAAGATCCTCGTTCGTGAAATTGGGGAAAACATAGGTGCAATCGAAGAAGAGTAAAGAGAATGCGGACCTCAAAAAGTGGTATTAGAGCCAATAGTGGGGCTTGAGACATCATCATAGTTGGAGGTAGACCTGGCATTCGTATCGTGTTTTTCGTGTTCGTGTCGTTTTCGTGTCATACCCGATATCTTAACGGGTCGTGTCGTGTAATACCTGTTAAAGTAAACAGGTAATATGACCCGACATGAAATCAACCTGTTAATATTATCAGGTAATATGACCCGACCCGTTACCCGTTAAGAAAATTATATTTTAAATCAATAAAAATGAAAAGAAAAACATAATTTGACCCAAAAAAATGTAAAACATAATACTAAATTAGTATATACATACTAAATTTCGGAGTTGACCCCTTAATGAACGTTGTAAAGTTTTTCATTACGTGTGATTACATTTTTCACACTTATTATTATTAATTTTTCACTCAAATAAATAACATTGTTCATGAGATTTTTAAAAATCTACACTTATTTGTAATTTCATCAAGTATAACATAAGATTTTATGGTTTCCACTAGTGTAAATATTTTAAAATTGAAGATCGAATTCATTCATTGTATTCATATAGGGTCAATGAGTGTAGCTGTAAAAAATCATCAAAATCGGAGTTAAAATAACCGTTAAATCGTGATTTTTCGTTTATAACCGTCGAAAAGTTTTGTCTCATTACTTGATCTCTAAATGTTTGTTTTTTTGCAATTTTTGGCGTATGCGATCTCGAAGCATATATAAACAAGTTTGACGGTTGGATCGTTGAAATTAGTTTTGTAGGATGCATATCCCATCAAAACGATAGATTCACTAACACTTAAGAGTTTATTTATACTTTTATCAAGTATAACATAAGATTTTGTGGTATCCACTAGTGTAATATATTTTAAATTGAAGATCGAATTCATTCATTGTATTCATTTAGGGTCAAGGAGTGTAGCTGTAAAAAATCATCAAAATCAGAATTACAATAACCGTTAGATCGTAATTTTTCGTTTATAACCATCGAAAAGTTTTGTCTCATTACTTGATCTCTGAATGTTTGTTTTTTGCAATTTTTGGCGTATGCGATCTCGAAGCATATATAAACAAGTTTGACGGTTGGATTGTTGAAATTAGTTTCGTAGGATGCATATCACATCAAAACGATAGATTCACTAACACTTAAGAGTTTGTTTATACTTTCATCAAGTATAACATAAGATTTTGTGGTATCCACTAGTGTAAATATTTTAAATTAAAGATCGAATTCATTCATTGTATTTGTTTAGGGTCAAGGAGTGTAGCTGTAAAAAATCATCAAAATCGGAGTTAAAATAACCGTTAAATCGTGATTTTTCATGTATAACCGTCGAAAAGTTTTGTACTTATTACTTGATCTCTGAATGTTTTTTTTTTGCAATTTTTGGCGTATGCGATCTTGAAGCATATATAAACAAGTTTGATGGTTGGATCGTTGAAATTAGTTTCGTAGGATGTGTATCTCATCAGAACGATAGATTCATTAACACTTAAGAGTTTATTTATACTTTTATCAAGTATAACATAAGATTTTGTGGTATCCACTAGTGTAAATATTTTAAATTGAAGATCGAATTCATTCATTGTATTTATTTAGGGTCAAGGAGTGTAGCTGTAAAAAATCATCAAAATCAGAGTTATAATAACCGTTAAATCGTGATTTTTCGTTTATAACCGTCGAAAAGTTTTGTCTCATTACTTGATCTCTGAATGTTTTTTTTTTTCAATTTTTGGCGTATGCGATCTCGAAGCATATATAAACAAGTTTGACGGTTGGATCGTTGAAATTAGTTTCGTAGGATGCGTATCACATCAAAACGATAGATTCACTAACACTTAAGAGTTAATTTATACTTTCATCAAGTATAACATAAGATTTTGTGGTATCCACTAGTGTAAATATTTTAAATTGAAGATCGAATTCATTCATTGTATTTGTTTAGGTTCAAGGAGTATAGCTGTAAAAAATATCAAAATCGGAGTTAAAATAACCGTTAAATCGTGATTTTTTGTTTATAACCGTTGAAAAGTTTTGTCTCATTACTTCATCTCTGAATGTTTGTTTTTTGCAATTTTTGGAGTATGCGATCTTGAAGCATGTATAAAGAAGTTTGACGGTTGGATTGTTGAAATTAGTTTTGTAGGATACGTATCCCGTCAAAACGATAAATTCACTAACACTTAAGAGTTTATTCATACTTTCATCATTTTGATGGGATACGCATTGATGTTATACTTAATGAAAATATAAATAAACTTTAAGCGTTAGTGAATCTTATCGTTTTGATGACTTGGAATAAATATATTAATTATTTATATATTTTAAGTGTTAATTAGACTATGTTTCAATTAGTATGTAATGATATTTAATAATAAAATTACATTTATGTTTTTTATTACGTATTTTATTTTTATTCAAGTTAAAATGTTATAAGAGATAAAAATAAAAAATAAAAAATAAAAAAGCTGGTTATTTTTTTTCTTTGGGTTAAACATTAGGTGGGAAATGGATGGATATAGGTTGCAAAATTTCCCAAACATTAGGTGGGAAATGGATGAAACTCTTGAAATATTAGGCGGGAAATTAATTATTATAATTTTTTTATGTTTTTGGTATTTTTAAATTACTTGATATTTTTATTTTTAATGTGTTTTATGATTTTTAATCTCAATCTTTGTCTACAATATATTATAAAAATAAATAAATAAATAAAACTTAAATTTTAAAATTTATATAAAATAATAATAGAATAATAATTAATAAACAATATATACATATTCATTATATCTATTGCATTTTATAGTAAGTTTTTTTTAGTAGTTTAAAAAATTAAAATCATCAAAATAGCATTTTTCTTATCGTGTCGAAACAGGTTACCCGCGTGTCACTTTCATGTAAACCTGTTAAGGACCCGTTATTAACGGGTTATTATCGTGTGACCCGATAATGACCCGATTAGTTATCGTGTTGACCCGAAACCCGTTATTTTCGTGTCGTTTACGTGTCTTGTTAACGGGTCGTGTAATAAATTGCCAGGTCTAGTTGGAGGTGTTGCTCATATAGAAAGATGACGGCTCAATTGGCCGGTAGATAGAGGTGGTGAAACTGAAGACAATATATGTGCAATAGGTGCAATTTAGGAAGAGTATGAAAAATGTGGGTCTCAACAAGTGGTATTAGGCCATCTCTAATGGTTTAGCTAAATGTAGCCACTGTGACATTTTTTAGCTTTTTTAAATATTAGTTTTTTTAATGATAGTGTTGTATTTTTCCACCTCCACGGTACAGGGCTATATGTAAGTGTTTTATTGTTATTTTTATTAAAATACTTGGAAATCAAGTTGGATTAATAATCTGATTTTTTTTTTTTTTTTTGGGTGGAGTTCGTTATATTTTTATGTTTCTTCCTATGGTGGCCAAACAAGATTGAACAGAGATAGGAAGATAAAGAGAGAAAAGGAAGGGAGAAGAGAGATGGGAAGATAGTGGCTCCATTGCTTAGTAGATGGAGTTGGTGAAGTTGGGGACAATCCATAGCACAGCATGTGTATTTGTGTATGGTTGGCCTTATAGCAAATTATCCAAACAATGTCTGGATTAGTAACATTATGTCACAGTGTGACCGTCATGCTTAAAAATTCTCTACATGACCTTCCCGTAAACCTTACATCTAATGCATTAATCGTTACATGATGGTACTTAAAATAAGAAACAAATGAGAGCACACTTTGTTCGTCACCAATAGCCTCGGCAGGAGCAGGATCCTTTCTTGAAATGATGAAATCGACTTGAGTCTCTCAATATGATTTCATGCTCAACAATCATGGAGATGTAGGTAATGGCATTGTGGCAATCACCGCAGACGCGTAAGTTCTTGGTGATCCGGATAGGTTGGCCTGCCGGCGTAGTTAGGATTGCGTAGGCCAGAGCCAACTTCTCACTATGCTCGAAAAGAAGGTCTCCTTTCTCCTCATCATCGACGTCGTGAAGTGCAAAACTTGTCTCGGGAACGTATCCCATGTCTTTGATGCGTTTGATCAATTCTGCAAGTTTCTCATATATTTCTTGAGACATTGGATGAGCCCTATCGCCCACAAAGAATGTTGCGTTGCCTTTCTTACCTTGCACCCAACTGCATCCGGGCCTCTTCTTGATGCCAGTATTTCTCATTAACGATCGGATTCTGGCCACGTCTTTCCAACGTCTGGCATTGGCGTATATGTTCGAAAGCAATGTATATGATCCATCATTCTCTGACTCAATCTCTGATAACCGCTGTGCAGCATATTCACCTAGTTCAACATTTCCATGCGTCCTGCACGCACTGAGCAAGGCCACCCATACAATTGGGGTTGGTTGCATAGGCATGTCTTTGATCATCTTCAACGCGTCGTCCAAACGGCCAGCACGACCCAAGAGGTCAACCATACAAGCATAGTGTTCAGCCCCAGGAACAATCCCAAAATCCTGGCTCATGCTGTTGAAGTACCTTGTTCCTTCATCGACCATTCCAGAATGGCTGCAAGCATACAGGACAACAACTAAAGTTACACCATCAGGCACCAGCCCCAGACTCATCATCCCACCAAAAACTTGTAGGGCTTCTTCACCACGACCGTGCATTCCATAGCCCGTCATAAGTGAAGTCCAAGAAACAGCATTTCTTTGTTGCATGTAATCAAACACAACTCTAGCAGCATCAATGTCTCCGGATTTTGAATACATATCAACGAGGCAATTGGCCACAAACAGCTTCCCAGAATCACACTGATTGCGTACTATAAAAGCATGAATTTGTTTACCGGACCTCAGTGCCCCCAGACGAGCACAGGCCATCAGGGCACAAGATATAGTAAAAGCATTTGGTTTTAGAGGGCAATCCTTTCTCAGCATCTGATAGAATAGTTCTAATGCCTCATTAGCTTCCCCATGCTGTGCATACCCACCGATCATCACAGTCCAAGTCGCCACATTCCTTGTCTTTGGTTCAATATTATCAAACATCATTCGAGCAACTTTGGGACTCTTGCATTTGGTATACATGTCAATCAGACCATTAATTACCATCGTATCATTTCCAGGGTCATTTCCTTCTAAATCCAGGATCCATTTTATTGCATAACAATGGGTTTCTTTTCCTTGAATCAATGCTCCAGCAGAGGCACACCCTGAAAGAAGAGACACAAGAGTAACAATGTTTGGCTTGGAGCTACAAGCCTGCATTTTCCGAAAAACATCCAGCGCTTCATAAGCATGTCCCCTCTGAGCATACCCTGCAATGACAGCACTCCAAGTGACAACATTCAACTCAATATTTTCCTCCCCCATCTTCTCAAACAAACCAATGGCATCCTCATATTTACCAATCTGAGAATACCCGGTAACCATTGCATTCCATGAAACAACATCCTTTACCTTCATCCTATCAAATACCTTGCGTGCCTCTTCCATCATCTCACACTTAGCATACATATCAACCACGGCATTACCCACAAAAACATCTTCAAATAAACCATTTCTAATAGCATAACCATGAATCTGCTTACCCCACATCGGCTTACCATCTGAAGCACAAGCAGGAAGAACATTAACTATACTAACAGCATCTGGGCGCACACTAAAATCACCCATCATCCGATCAAACATTTTAAACACATTACTCGAATCCCCACTTTGAACATAAGCCGCCACAATCGAATTCCACGACACAGCGTCCCCAATCCCCCTTTCAGACAATTCATCGAACACCTTACGGGCATCGTCCAACGCACCGCAGCGGCCATACATAGCAACCAACGCATTGCAAACAAACACATTTGACTCAAACCCATTTGCGAACACAGAGGCATGAACCGACGATCCTCGCCAGAAGGACCGAAGCTCGCCGCAAGCCTTGAGAACAAAGGGGTAAGTATAATGGTCAGGCCGCCACCCAAGCATTTGCATCCGATGGTAGAGATTAAGCACGTCATGAAGTAACCCAGAACCCACGGCGGTCCGTATAAGCACATTCCACCAGAAAACAGTCCACGGGCACGGCACAAGGCGTTGGAGCAACCCCAGGGCTTGTGAGGGAGCATTGCAGGCGACGTAGGCGGCAATGAGATCGGTGGCGGCGTGTGCGAGGCCGCCTTGGACCAGGATACGCTGGTGGAGGAGCTTGGCTTCCGGTAGAGACTTGCATTGCCTTAAAAGTGCCGCCGCAGTGGAGAAGAAGGCTCTGTTGGTGAAGGGTTTTAGAGGCAGTGAGACGCAGAGCATGCTAGAGGGATTTCACTGCATTTTTGGGGTTTTAGCCTTTACTAATCGGAGTTCGTTTTGTTTGGGTGCGGGTTGCCGGGTTTGGACTTTAATTGGACCTAACAACAAGAAATAAACAAGTTTGGGGCGGCCCTAATCATGTTCGTGTCATAATCATGTTGAGCCGTTTAATACGGTTTATATACGGCTTGTGTTTTTTATTAACTCATATAATATGAAAATTACATAACATGTTTTAGTACGTTTATGTAATCGTTTAACGCATTATCTTATGTATCAGCATTTTAATTGGACGTTAAATAACAAGACGAAGCATTACAAGATTTCAATGTGTCAGGTTTTCTTCTAGAAAAGAACTTTTATTATGACGAGAATACTATTGTAACCGTATATCAAGGTAATAGCATAATTTGCTAGCGATATTACCACTATGCCATTCAAGTGTAGGTAAATGTTTGTCGTTAAAGAGAGATTTTTCAAAATGACTTGTCACACTGAAACGTGAAGTAACTAACAGTAACCTCATACTTTTATTTGAAAGTGTTTCTCGTTAAAGATTGAATTAATTCCAACAGATGAGAATTCCAGCTTGTTGAGAAAGTCCAAAGGCAAACATATTAATATGACCGATTCTACAACAATACAAACCACAAGCGTTCATAGCCCTAACCCTTTTTAGAATCCAAACACTACAAAGTACAATTCACTTCACTTGTTAAGCATCATCCTCACAAACTCCTCATAGTTCACCTGGCCATCGCCATCTTCGTCCGCTTCACAGATCATTTCATTCACTTCTTCATCCGTCAGTTTCTCACCAAGATTCGCCATTACATGTCGAAGCTGCACAATTAGGCAGATTGTCCCTGTAAGTTTTCCACTACACACATTCTTCCATACATCATCGAAGAAACAGCAAATTATGATCTTTACCTCAGCAGCAGAAATGAAGCCATTCTGGTCCTTGTCAAAGACCTTGAAAGCTTCTTTGAGTTCCTCATCGGAATCAGTATCCTGCAGAAGTTTTAATTCAACAAACTTTGCGTGTAAGTTCGCACATCCAAACCACAGACAGAAGAGCATACCAAAATTTAATCAAACGAACCAAAACATAACGATACTAACGCTTCCAATTCTTTGATTATTGACACCGATTCCTACTCACGGTCAAGACTCATGAAGCACTTGCACAGTTGCATTTGCTCTTTAGTTATAATTAGAAGCAAGATTAGCAATCACTGTACAGACTTTCTATGTGGATCAAATTAGAACAGAACAATTACACTTCAATCAACGACGGATCAGTTGGAAGACCATTGAATGAAAGAATTACGAGAGTCCTCATTCTCCCTAAGCTCCATATGAAATTTGAACAACCCGAATTCAGTTACTGCAGCGATTTTATGTAAAAATCTTAATGATGAAAGTTATAAACAAGTACGAGTGTTGCACAAAAACGCCGATATTTCATCTGATTCGGCAAAGTACAGCAGATCACTGTCTGAGATTCAAAATACGACACACCAGAATACAATGGGAGGAGATTATATACCTTCATCTTCCTCGCCATCAAATTCAGAAACTCGGAGAAATCGATTGTGCCATTCTGATCAGCATCAACTTCACTGATCATGTCCTGCAATTCAGCCTCAGTGGGATTCTGTCCCAAAGATCTCATCACAGTTCCCAACTCTTTGGTAGTGATGCAACCTATGTCCAAACAAAAACATGAATCAAAACTACTTCTACCTGAAAAATGGGAAGTAGCATAAATGTACTAAACAGAACCCATAAATGTCCTTTTCTTTTTAATTATACAAGACGATATTCTGAATCAATATACTATACAGGAAGAAAGATTCGAACTTGGTGCAAGAGAACGAATATACTGCATAAACTATACGGGAAGAAAGATTCGAACTTGGGTGCAAGAGAACGGATTTACTACATCTACAGACCCAAAACATGCTAATTCACAGATATCGACCTTTCAAGGTTCGGCATGAATCATTCAAAAACACAATCACAAGTGGTGGTTCAAAACTTGATCCATGAACTTTCTAACTACTTCTATACAAAACAAAATTAAACCCAATAATATATACATGATTTATATACATATACATATACATATGTACATATATACACACACATACGAGAAGGTGTAGAAATATATACCATCGCCATCTTTGTCAAAGAGGCAAAAAGCTTCCTTGAACTCGGCGATCTGCTCCTCCGTTAGCTGCTCTGCCATCTTTGGTCTCTGCTCTCAAGATTTTGGCAAAATGTGTGGACTACTTCTTGATCTCGTTGACCGATGAAATTTTCGATCAAAATGTCCCTAAAAATATGCAAGTAGGATCCATTGAGATTCAAGTCTTTGGAAAAATCATTTGTTAATTACTTGTTAGAATTTTAGGGTCTGATCCGACGGTGGAGATCACGCATCTGCTAATTTTTGTACGGCCATGTGATTGCGATTTGCGACCCCATCGCCACTCGCTTACAGCGTACCAGCGGGGATATGTGGGGGCCCACCGGTTCAGCGTGTCCGCGTCTGGTGTAAATGTAGGGACCCCATCGCCATCTTTCATTGGGCTTGTCTCCCAAAAAGCAGTTGTAAATGTAAATTTTATTAAAAGGTGTTCACTAGAAATGGCTTGGAAGAGCTTATTGAAAAAGCATCCAACGGACCAACATACTTCTGAGAAAAGCACTTATAATTTTTTCCATTCCAACTACAACCACAGGTGCTTGATTGTCAAAACACTTTACTCTCTCCCCTCCAAAAACAATCTAAAACATGCTTGCATAAGCTCGATATTTTCTACCAAACATTGGCGGAAGCAGTTTTGGTTCTCTTGAAACATTTTTACCTGTTTTAAAAGCACTTCCAAACAAGAACGAACCAAAAAGTTTGGGTTGCTTTTATGAATTTGTGTGTATAAATTTATATAATTCACGAGAAACCATACAGAAGTGTAACATTGGAAACGATGGTTACAAGCATACAACGATATGCTTAAGATTGAAAGCCTGCAAATTATTCTGAATGCTATCAATAATTGAAATATATCAAGAGATCTCAAGACATTGTATGTATATATCGATGAAACTCTCTCGCTCTCTCAGCTTTACGCACAAAAAGCATAAGCGGAAAGCTCAAATTGTTAGTAGCGCAAAAAGTAAGAACACAAATAATGAGCTGTTGGGTTGTATCTGCAAGTTGAAAAAATTGGCAGAAATGTAGCTAGAGATAATGCATTGCTCGTCTATGGAGGAGTCTGGTTTTTGTACTTGACAGCTAAGGCTGCTGCTCTGTACCACGACGCTGCAGCCATCGCACCTGGGTCTGGAACTGAAGCAAGTACATCTCCGGAGATATAACTTGAACGACCAGCCTGCATAAAACATCACGGCAGAATCAGATCCCCATAAATACAAAATGGCCGCGGAGGATATGACATCTAATTAGGATTCTGAAGGGGACAAAAAGAAGGTAGAAACGAATTAGTTGGACACCTGTGCCTCCATGTTCTTAGTCGACTCAGCTCCATCTAATGCCGCTTCAGATGAGAGTAAAAAAGCAGTCACAGGATCATCACCAGCTTTTAACCTCTGTTTTCAAAACAGATATACCGTAAGCATGAAATTTATGAGCCCACCATAACAAAGGAGAAAAAGAAACTCATAATTAACTGACCTCCTGAAGAACCGTAGATGCTGGAATAAGGGCATCTAACATTGTCCGATAACCAGCACTAGCCCCACCATATTTACTGACTGCAGCAATGGAAGCTTCAAGCGCTTCAGCCCAATTTTTTGACGTGACAACTGATTGGGTGCTTGATTTCAACCGAGTGTAGGCTGCCTTACAAAATATAACATACCTGTTTCAAGAATATAGATGTAACATATCATGTCTGGCTAAATGCAGCAAAAAATTTCTTCAAAATTTCTGTCAAACTTTATTGAAGAAAAGGGGAAGTTGAATACAGGATCCCACTTGTGCCCCCCATTGCTCTTCTGATAGATGATCCAATTTCGTTCACTGTTTCAGTTGCATCATTCAGAGGATAACTGCAAGACGGTAATATATATAAGACCACTAATAAAAACTTGGTCGGGAACCATAAGAAAGAAGACTGAATATCAAACGCACTTTTTCATGTCTTCCAAAACTGTTGTTGCACCTATATACATCTGCAATAGGAAACATAAGATTTAACACGTTAAATGATATGAGCAGGAAATGACAAGATTTAGGAGAGGTACCAGATTTAGCACACATCATATCATCAAAATAGGGATCAAGGCTAGGACTTACTGTTGACCCACAGTCACCATCACCTACTTTGCCATCCCATTCGTTCAAATTGTCCTTAAGTTTTTTAATTGCATTTGCAGCTGCTTCAACGGCCAGCTCAAGAATCTGGCCTTGTTCATTAAGCTGTGCCGGCCGACCTAATGGCTATTGAAATCATACAAAGTCAAACAATACCATTACATGCCAGCCTAACTGTACAAACAAAGGTTTGAACATACCTCATCAGAATTCATTGAATGAGATGGAGGTAATGGAACAGGAATCTTTGCTGGTGGGTGATTGCCTGCAAGGGATAACCACCGAGGTCAACAAAATATTTAGTTTTTGATAAGTATATGTGTTATAAAAGAAGTGTAGTATGTATTAAATGTATTTTAATACAGAAGAAGTACGACTTATTCATGACCCCAATGTCATTAGACTTTCATTAAAGCAATTTCTATTCACGAAGAAAAACAAAGACAAGAAGATACATTCAAGCACCAGAAACAAATACCATCAACACCAACAGGCCAATATGGCGCCTTTGTTGCAGCATCCAGACGTTGCAAAATAGTTTGATCAGCCTTCATGACAGAAATCGAAAAACCTGAAGAAACATAATGTTAAGAATGTGTACATTATTAATATAACTAACACTCTTGTCATGTGGCAGAGGACAAACCTGCCATATCAAGAGAAGTCATAAATGATCCAGTATACACTCTATCCACTGCCAATCCATGTTCCAGCTGCAACTTAGGTACTGCTTTACCAGATGCAATCATCAGCTCCATTCCAGGAGTTGCACCTAACCTGCCATAATGGAAAATAAACACAAGATTACAAATATTTTCTCTTGCACATGATAAAAGTCCCCATAATTGAAATTTTCATCTAATAAATAAAGTAAAAGCTCCAACGTACCCATTGACCATAAGCACCACTCTACAACCCCGAGTAATCGGAACATAATTAGTTTCCTGCAAAGATTAGAAATTAAATATTTTAGAAATTTGGAGCTTGATTCAATAGGTTGTAGGGAAAAAACACTAAACGTAACCTAGTTAAAAAGTAGGTCATCATAAGCATTGGGAAAAAGCTACGTTCATAATAAGAAAGTATAAGGCTATACTGGAGACAATATCTGCTTAAGAACATGAGAAACGATAACATCCACCGGTTGAAGATCAGCTACAGCAGCACCGGGTTCTCCATGCTGTAAAAGTAATCAAGTTTTAGTCACTTTGTCAAAGTATTTAAGAAGTAAATATAAGTACCAAGCCATATGTGCAAAGAGCTGGAAATTACATAAAAAAAAAAAATCAAATGAGGATATGGTTGGAAGAATTTGAGCAGATAATGAGTTCCAATTTATGGTAAGCAAACCAGAAATAGAGTTGATGTTTTAACGTGATTAGAAAACTAGATCTTAATCTCTTGATTTATAATCAAGGTCGCTTATTGAAAGTAACTTACAATTCCAAGACCAAGTTCCATCTTTCCTGGACCCAAACGGTCTGGTGTGACCCGACCAGGCAATGTGCAAATAGATAGTGCAACACCCATTGTTCCAACCATTTCAGATGCTCGTCTGGCTTCTGCAGCAACATCAGCTAGTGAAAGGCCGGCAGCAGCAGCAGCTCCAGCAATCTATTTCACACAGGCATCACAGATTTCAATTAACCATTTCGCCAAAACAATGAAATACTGATATTATTAACAGTTGATACCATGGACCTGGTTCTAATTGGGATGTGAAGACATGGGTGAAAAGGCTTCCAACCCTTCATACACAAAACACCCTATTTCTAACATCCTTCACAATAAGCTTGCATGCATACATGAAATGAAAAATATCTAACACAAAGACAACGTTCAACTGTCTGCATACAATAGTTAAAGACAACATTCCAAATGGAAAGTGTTGAGACAAAAACGAAGAGAGAGGAAGAGAACCTTATGAACAAGAATGGTCCCGGCCAAACCCCTTCGACCAGCTATTCCTCGAGGCGGTGGTAATGCACAATCATCTCCAACAATTACAGTCTGCACCATAAAACGGCAGTCCCATTGTTTTCATTTAAACTAACAATGCTTCAGAGGGTTTGAACTGAAAATATAAAAGGAAATCTGCAAATTAATGCATACCTCTACTTCGTAACCTTCTGATTTTGCTTGCTCTGCAGCTAAACCAAAATTTAAACAGTCCCCAGTATAATTCTGTCAACAACCAGATAGCAACATCTATACATCAGGGCTAACATATATTTATGAAAAGAAAAGAAAAGGCCAAATTCAGAAACCACTGCTTTCCATCTTATATTTATGAAGCTGGGAAGCAATTCCAGAATTTAATATGAATTAAGGTGCAAATTTCCTTTTTTTTATTATTATATTTTGTTTGTACTTTTTACCAGCAATGGTCTTTCAGAATGCTCCAAAACTTATGCCACAGCTATCATTTAGCATCCTGACCATACAGAGAGTAACCCAACAAAGAAACTTCAAGAAAAAGTAGAAATTATACCTTGACAATCAGAAGACAACCTGAAGGACCAGTCACAGCTCGGATGCCCTAAAGTACAATTATATCATATCAGAGTCTCCTCATGTAACAATAGTACATGAATCAATAGGGTTTGGTTCCCTTCCAATTAAAGCTATAAATTGCAGGAGACCATACTGCTAGAATTGAATCAACTTGTGGTGAGGCAAAAACATCCCCACATATAGCCGCAGTTAGCATTCCATCCCCCACAAATCCAGCGTGTGCAGGCTCATGCCCACTTCCACCTCCTGTATCATCAAGGTATTTAAATTAGAAAGCCTCTCTCTGTTAAATAGTTTATAATTCCGTTTCATTCTAATTCCAAAGTCTATAATTGGCATCCACTCGGTCGATGGATTCTAATGATAACTAGAATCTACTTCATCTATCATCAACGCACCTATTGGTTAGACTATTTGATAAGTAATACACTTCAGATTATCTACTTCAGCAATGTACTTTTTTACCTGGTTTTCCCAGGCAGGTTTGACACAATGTAGTTAAAGAACTATTGATTGGACTATTTAACAAGTTAACCCTTTATTGATTGCCCCACATTCAATCACACAACTACTAGGTGAATCTCCGCCTATAAACTCCACGATGTCACACAGTCTGATGCTGATATAATTTTTTTTCTATTTTCAAGTGAAAACACTCTTCGAAATTCTAATACATTAAACAAAGTCCGACGCTAACATAAAAAATTTCTATTTTGAAGTGAAAACACTCTTCTAATTCTAATCCAGTAAACAAAGTCCAACGCCAATATAAATTTTTTCTATTTTGAAGTGAAAACACTCTTGTAAATTCTAATAAGTATACAAATGCAATGCAGGCTTTCATAGGAATCAATCAAAAAGTAATTGCCGGGTATCGAACCTGATATAATCGCAACTTTGTCATACGTCCCACCGGAAACATCAGCACGCAACACAACCTTCACCTGCAATCCCCATTTACGAAAGTCCGAAAATCAAATAAATTAAGTTTACACATAAAGCTACGGCATTGACAAATTAACACAGACGAACAGAGCAGAAGGAAACAAAAAGTACCTGAGGGAAACCATCCAAGTACTGCAGCCCAGGATAAGTTTCGACAAGCCCTTCGATGAATTCAGTCACCACATCTGCAACCACCAATACGAAAAATTCCCAACTCTCTCAGTGAAAGAAAATCAATTTCTCTTGGCATTTCATCTGATTTAACTCGGAAAATACTAAAAATTATATAAAAAAAAATTAATTCAGCGACAATCACAAGGAAGAGCAGAGAATGATCGGAGAAGCAAATGCAAGAGTGAGGGGGAGGAATTGGCGCACCGTTGGGGTCGTTGATGAGCTTCTTGCCGTGAAAAGCCATCGCGATGAATTGACGGAGGAGGATGAAACCCTAGCTATGTATCAGTGGTTTGCACTGAACCGGAGCGAGAGAGAGAGTTTGTGGTATTGGTGGAGTGGGGCTCTCTATATCTGTGTGCTGGGAATATCGATGGATATATATCTACTCTGTGTGTGCGATGAGAGAGAGAGAGACTGAGAGAGCGAGAGAGAGAGAGAGAGAGAGAGAGATCTTTTGCTTTTGATAAAGTAGAGTGGGGCGTGCGGCTTGATGGATGGCTTTTCTTGTCCGGAGCCAGAAATTTTGTTGCCTTGTTTTTATCATTTTGCCCTTCCTTCTTTCCGATAATTACCTCTCTGCCACTCAAAGTTCTATCCACTTTAGCATTATTCACTGAATTTTTTGATCCAACTTCCAATTTGTTCTTTCCGTCTTTTTGGTTTTTGAGCTTTTGTTCCGATAATTATCTTGTTTTCAGTCTTTCTTTTTAAATTAAAATTTGAAAATTTATATGATAACTCAGTTGTTTAAAAGATGAAAACTTAAAAGTGAAAATTCAATTTACAAATGATCTTTTATTACAGTGATGGAAACATATTAAGTTCTTATATAAGGATTTGAGTTCAAATTTTATCGGTGACTTTAAAAGCTCGACGAATTAGTTTTCAGTTTTGAATTTTTAGTTTTCATTTTATAAACGAAAAGAACACCAAACAAAGTGAAATAGGCCCTCGGCTTAAACATTTGCAACAATTTCAAAAGTTTATACTACACGAAGTTGACAAAAAACCCTGAATTTGACATAATAACTAACGATGGTTGGGCACTAACAGAAATTAAAGTTGTCAAAGTCTTGAATTAAATTGAATTGTAAGCTACTAAAGATAGTTAAGTTGTGACAACGAATTGAATGATGAATATGAATAGACTAGCTCGAATATAAATCAAGAACTGTTTCTAAACTTTTCCTTTTTTATTTCTCTCCTCCTAATTATCTATTTAGGATGGTAATTGTCAAAATAATTAACAAATACTTATTGATCAAAGTTCTCAACTTTTTTTTTATGATAAAAAAGTTTTCAACTTGAGAATTGATATCCAACAAAAATAAACTTGAAATTTAATCGGAAAAAAAATATTTAAAGCTTTACTTATCACTTAAATAAATAAAAGAAAAGAAAAAAGTTCGCACCTTGGTTTGCAGAATCCCGAACTGAGAGTGAAGAGTGATGAATGGAGCGCCAATGGAGACGAAGGGGCTCAATGCTAACAGAGAAAGCAAGGCCAATCCGAGCCGCAAAGAGGTAAGATCGCACTTTTTCCCTACAGTTTCAAGCAATCGCAACCGTTAATTGTACAATTTAATTCTGGATTTCCAGATAATCGAGAAGAAGAAGGCCATGGATGCACTGTTAAAAGCAGCTTCTGCTGAAAAGGACCAACTTTCTGCTTTCCCTGCCTTTCGCCGTTACCAAGCAAACGGTACTCTCAATCTCACATCTTATCTGACATGCCACTTTTTTCACAATTCGTTTGAAGATTTTGTTAATTTGCTGCAGTACCTCACATTTTTATGGGAATTGAAACCGAATTCTGTTGCAAATTCATGTTTTTTATTCGTTTGGAAGCATTTCCTTTTCGGGTTTTTCAGGTTTTGTATGAAGTGATGAGATTGTGGTCGTCTCAGTGTAGATGGTTAGGAAGTTTCTTGGTGATAATGCAGTCAGTCTTGCTTGGTTTTCGAGTTCAAATACCTCGAAATTTTATTTGGCAGACGAAAATTCGTGTAATGCTTAACGATAAATTGGATATTTAGGGCTATCTGCATTTTTGGAATCAGGACGCGGGGACAAGCTTTCGTCTTCTGTTAAGCATTACATTCAAAATCTCCTTAAGGTATTTGAAGTAGTCTGTCTGTTGTTCTTTCGTAACTCGGCCAAATTATGCGATGAGCAAGTGCTCTAGTTTGATTTATTTACTCTTTTCGGGCAAAAGTTATTCAAGTTTTGGGAAATGATTAGGCCAATATGGAGGGGCTGTATGGATCTGAGTGGCTGGTGGAAGAGAGGGTGAAGCGCAGGGAGATGGTTGCACCTGAAGCACGTTATATATTTGTACGTGAGGCTTCAAATGCAGGTGCTAGTGAAATGTTAACAATGTCGGAGCAAGAAAGTACCTCAGCTAGTTGTGTGGAGAAGAGGGGGCCCATGGTTGGGTTTGTACATTTTCGATTTGTCATAGAGGAAGAATTGCCTGTACTTTATGTGTATGAATTGCAACTCGAGCCTCGCGTACAAGGGAAAGGTCTGGGAAAGTTCCTAATGCAACTAATTGAGCTAATTGCTCGCAAGGTGCTGATTCTGTCCCATCTCCCATTTTAATCATGTATTTAAAAGCTAGATGGAAAGAGAATGTCTGATGGCTTGATAATATGATTCTTAAAACAACTTATCTGCATTCCATGTTTATTGTTCTTAGTGTCTTCTCAGCAATTAATCTAGCATTTTCCATCTTTGTAGAACCACATGGGTGCTGTCGTTCTAACTGTTCATAAATCAAACTCGGTAGCCATGAATTTCTATTTAAGTAAGATGAGGTAAACTTTTTGCTTGTGTATATTACTCAAAGGACTTAAAACAATGAAACCTGTAAAAGAGTTTTTCATCCATGATGTGTAAGAGTTCTAGTTTTCTAGAGCGACGCTGCTATAAAAGGAAAAGATTTATTTTTTCCTTCATGCTTACCAGCTCTTGCATTTGGAAGAACTGTAGTGCCCTTATACTTTTCTTTTCCATGTAGTGTTAGTAATAAGAGTTATTTTAATAGCAGTATTACTAATAATCTGTGGATCCTAGGAGGGATGTTTATAAGATGCATATGTTATTCATTTTGTTGCAACTATAAAGTAACCGCTGCACAAGGCCACATGATTGACTGGTTTGCTGAAAAACAGACAGACAATTGAAGCTATAAAAACTGTTTTATGTTGTTGAAAACAGAAAGTTTTTCCTTCATTTTTTCATTTTTAAAGTTTAGTTCGTTACGAGATTATGGTGCTTTGTCCCACAAAATTTATAATGATGCTTTTTTATCGAATGATCAGATTTCTTTTGCTTTCAACAGATACATTATATCAACTATATCACCATCACGAGTTGATCCATTGGTAAGGGATTATTAAAGAACTACCTACAGTGGCTGAAATATGGAGAAGACCTGCACCATTTTGTTCACTATATTTTCTTAACAAGTTTATTGTTTGTACAGATATGGATTGAGAAGAGTTATGAAATTCTTTGCAAAGCGTTCAGTAATGAGGCTAAAGCTATCTTGGAGGTATGTGTCTGTTTCAACCAGGTCAGAATAGGCTTGATTTGTAATGGGATACAAGCATTTTCAAAGATATCCTGTTTTAAGCAATAATACTCTGCATTGGATCTTATTCCTGTTGTCTTTGGTGTCCGTTTGCAGGATGGGTTTTGTACTTTGTTTTGTATATACATACGCACTGTCATTCATCTTTTTTTCCTTCTTCATTTGTGACTATGAATATCAGGAACCACTTGAGGAGGTTCATCTGGTTTAACAAGGTGGTAAACTCGACGCTCTTCACCAAAGGGCAGAATCCAGCTATTGAGGTACTGGAGTGGATAATACAGTTCCAGCAGAATGCATTAATTATAGTAATTTAGTTGCTGCAATATGTTCAGGATTATTAATCTTGAACTCACAGAATCACTACCAATCTAGCATAACTTTTCTCTCTTCTGTACAAAACCACCTGCAATTGCACAATGTAGAAAGAAATTATTACGTTTGGTTCTTCTGATCACAGCGTAGTAATTGCATCTCGTGCTCACCAATTGAAGCTATTTGCAATTAGCTAAGTTTGCTGCATAACGGTTGTTTTATGTACGAACAGTCTTATTTTTCTCTGTTCATGCTTCTTCATTCGCTAAGTTTGCTATTAGTGTCGATGCACATTGAGATGAAAACCTGCGGGGTTCGTTTTGTTGAGACTCAAATGTCGGCTAAATAGCATCAATATATGCTACTCATTTGATACTATTATGTATAAGGGGGCATAAACCGCAATTAGCTACGTATTTCCTTTAAATAGACAACGAGTTTCACTGTAATGGCAGCTTGAGAAACGAGAATTTTATTACTTTCCTTTCATTTGCTTTGATTTTGTTTTAGTTTCGAATCTTCTTGTGATGAAAGCAGAGTGATAGCAGTTTATGCTTAATAATGGAAAGCTTGATCTCCGTTTACGTGAATATTTTGTCACAGAAACATTCATCGAAATCGCTTGCCAAGCAAATAAATCTGTCTGACAAAAAGCTATGAAGCCCTTCAGGAGCTCTCAACACCTCAATTTCTGCCATAAAAATTGCCCGGATGGGTCTGTGGTCTGATAGTCTTGATTCTACTCTTTCGTACTGGTTTTGCTCGAGTCCTTTCCCGAACCATAGTATTCGATCACACCTACAAAACCCTCCTTTAATTAGTACATTAATCTGGTTTTGCAGTATGTTATCACTAACAAGCAGTTATGAAGCTTAATTACCACGCCGGAGCACGCCTTTTTTTATGTTTTCTCTTGTGATCACGGCCAAAGTACAGTCCCGAATTCGGGTAATATTTGTAGCTAGGAGCGAAGTTTATTTCTCCTTCATGCCAACCTTCGAATACATGTCCTTCCATGAGCTCCGTCTTAAGCTTTAAGAAAAGATAAAATCAAATCAAATCACTCTTTTGTTCATAAAATATTAAACTAGCAACTAACTCAACACACAAGAAATACTCATGAAACATATACAATGCCACCATTGCATTTCATGTTAATATCACAACGTCATGCGAAAGTCTCTTTCTACATAACATGGTGTTATTGGTCCAAAACGCCTGTACGAGTTTCATGTAAATTAACTCTCCTCACACAGAAACTAAATCTCTTTAATTACACAAGTGAAATGTCAATTAAGTACTTGATCATATTCCAACAAAAGCTTCCACTTTTGCTTCTCCACAAGATCCTGCGTTGTGGCGTCAGGCAGGTAGATTCTGTAGTTTAAGTCTCCAAGCCAAATCACCCTACTGCATATGTATAAGCATATATATTACTTAGTACTCATTAGTTTCAAAAGCAAAAATTAAATTCAGAAAGAGTACCAAACTAGTTTAGGGGATGCTGCATAATATGCACATATACTTACTCGTGATCAAGAATTTTTGTGGTCAAATTAGTGAAGGGTCCAGGAGGAAAGGTTGTTCGAGACAAAATCTCAGTGACGTTTGCATTTCTTCGTCTCTTATCGCTTTTTTTATCTCCAGAAGCTAGATGGCTACACACAAAACAGAAGCTTGTTTCATGCAACCAAAATCTCACTGACACCGAACCCTGCATGTACGCATACACGATAATGATTAATCGTACAAATTGTGAAATAAAATACTATTTGAATAATTGATCTAATTCATTAATAATTAATTACGGTGAAAGGATAAATGTTGTGTACCTTGTTCCCCAGGCGGCCCATGATACCACAGCCAACACATGAGACACTGAGATGTCTTATGTATTGGCAGAGATCACTTGAAATCCAAACAGATATAAATATTCCAACCATTTGCTTACTGATGATGCATCGGAAATCTACTTCTTCTTCTTCATCTTCTGTAATCTTATTCTTCTTATCGTTAAGAGCTGCTCTGATCAACGAATTCCATTTCTCACAAACCTTGCGGTTTTCAGATCTCACAACATTTCCTGCATTCAGTGGTACAATTTCTTGGAACCTGAAAGTCGTTAATTCATTGATTCAGAACTAATGATCATACTGTATGCATCAACCTGCGGTACGTGCATGGAGACATGCACGTATGATCAAATAAATACCGTACAGATAAGGAAAGAAAATTAAGATAAATTACCCGAGGACGTAGATATTAGCTGGAGGTTTCATATTATTAGGTCGGAGCCAACCCTGCATGTCCAAATAATCTGGAGGTGAAACACCTCCAACATTCCAGGAACCCGCGAAGATCCTGATCAACATCCATGCAAATTTATGAAACTCGATAAAACTACTTCATCATCATATTTTACTGCAAATTAATATTGAATATATACATAAATATTTATGGAAATAACTAGTCAGCTAGGAAAGGTTGCACATACTGGTATGTAGTTTCAGCAGTGGAATTTTTGTTGGAGTTGGAAATCATACTTTCTTGATTTTCACTTGGTCTTTCAATAGAAGTCCTCCTCTCCATCGAATCTGCTGGATTTATATCAGCCATGAAATGGTTGCCACCCAGTGTCGGAATCTTATCCACCATAAATCTAGAGTAAATGACCTTCAAACATAATCAATTAACACACGAGTATTAATATTACCTACAGTTAAGTGATCCACACAAAATCATTAACTTATCAGGGAGAAAGTTAATGGGTTGTGGGGCCACAAAGCTTAAAATTATGCTCTCAGTCTATGGAGAAACTCTTCTATAAAAAAAATAAAAAGTCTATGGATAAACTCTAGTACTGTAGGGAAACCAGACCACGGGTTCCCTACATCACACTCACATAAAAATACCCATGGTCTACCCTCCCCATTTTTTTCATGTTGATCCGCCTCTATTTGTATCTCATTTTCCTCTCACACGACACCTATGTACCATCATCAATGGTGGCCTCACACAGGGACCTCTTTTGAGAAATGTTGGAGGAGACACAAATAGGATCAGGTGAACAGGAAAAAATCATAGGTTTTTTTTTGCGTCTAGTGTCCACACGGACACGTGGTTTGGGTGCCGCGCACACAGTAGAATTTCTCTAGTCTATGACTATTCTCTTTATGTATAAAACGGTTGAGGAAATGGAGAAAGGAGGAACAGCTTCCACCACATGACAGTGTATCCATCCCCTTCCTCTTCCTCATTTAGAATATTGCATTTTCAAACAAGGAAACTTAATGGGATGGAGAGAAAGCATAGCAGTCTTACTTATTGGCCTTGCATGGAGTCAGCTGGGAAAGTCTGGCTCAGGATGAAGGATCTTATAGGACTGATTTTTCTGGGTAGTGGAAAGGGAATGCAACCCACAAACACAAACCCCTCCGGTGAAAAAAAGTGCGAAATACCATATTAATAAGGCTGTGTGACGGAGGAGATGACGCAAGTAAGAGACCATATTGTAATGGGATTAATTCATGATTAGTGGGAGGTGCGGGATTAATTAAATATTGGATTTGCTCAACAGAAAAATACCTAAACTTGTAAAACATGTGTCTCACTCTTTGTCTCATATTTATTTATTTGCACATGGTGCCGTTTTTTTTATTTGTTTTTTGCGTGTGTTTTTTTTTTTTGTGCTTTGTTTGTGTCGATAGGAAGCCTAGCTAGCTAGCTTATAGAATATATCATGATAAAGGATTAACAGTTGGTGCATGTTCTAATTTAATTGATGGTTGTTAACTTTGACTAATGAATGAAATCGCAGTAATTTCTGGTGACGTGCATGCATGGTAGTAATTAATTAATAATAGGTAATTAAACAATAGAGATAAGGAGTGAATCAATTAGCTTTTTTAGTTTAATGAGTGAAACCAATTAATTAGTTGGATGACTACGATTCCATTTTAACATTATTTCTGCAACCAAAAAATATATGGAGATTGTTTAGTTATTGATATGCATTACTCTATGAGCAATTCATTATGAAAATGATAATTACATAGATGAATGAAGGCATGTTTGGTACTAAATTTGAATCCAATTTTTTAGACTTAAAAACACATTTTAGGTTTTACAACTTGAATACTTGTTTGGTGGGATTGTTTTTAAAACATAACTCAAAACTAACTTAAAAATTAACCTACTTCTAGAAAAACACAAAAAGTGAGTTTTTAGAGTTTGTAACTCCAAACCCGCTACTTTCTCTCTCGTCTCCTCTCACTTCCAATCTTTCTAACTCTCTATCTCTATTCTATCTTTCTCTCTCCTCCCCTCCGAATCTCTCTCACTCCTCTTTCTCCCTCATCTCCATCTCCTCCCACCCTCTCTTTGGATCTCTTTGTTTGTCCAATCGGATTTAGTAGTAATTTCCAAATCCACGGGAAGTTGTTGTAGAGTTTTTTTTTTTTCTTTTCTTTTATTTATTATAATTTAAAACAATTTTAATCTCATACCAAACAAGTTTTTGGATATTAAAGAAAATTATTTTTAAAAGATGTTCTTAAGAAATGTTTTGCAAAATTCTGAAATCTTTTAATACAATATGAAACAGGCCTTAAACTACTTATGATTGGATCGGTTTTTATGCATATATAATTTTTAAATGATGAAATTAAACGATCTCAATTGTGGTTAACTTAATTACATTTAAATGGACAAAAGGATCGATAGTTCTATAAAGTGAATGTATAAGTATTAGTCATATAATTATGGATAGTACTCCTTGCACACTCATTTTACCTTTCACGCACCTTTGTTAAATTTTGTCTATTGATCTTCTTCAGTTTATTCGATCCGACGGTAAAAATTAAGAGGAGTGTGTGAGAGTAAAAAATGAGCGGTGTTATCAATTATAACCAGAACATGGTATCTATAACGTATCTTGATGCAGAATTGAGGATTGAAGAATCCATGGACAAAAGTTAAGTTGATGAGAGAAATTAAATTCAGAGTCTCTTCACTCACACAATTTGTGATCAGACAAATCAGATTGATGCAAACGATCGAATGGGAAATGTGCATTTACATGCATGAACCAATCTAGGTCTAGCTAGTCGCATTTCGAAAATAACCCTAATCATATTATTAGATGGCGGAAAAAGGAATTGATTGGATGGACGGAAAAAGAGCTAAGAGATCCATAACTACTACGCAAT